TCCTGAGCCAAAGTTGGATGTTTAACCAACTGAGCCACCCAGGTGCCCCAATGCTATTTTTCTTTTTAAGTAAGCTCTACACGCGACATGGAGCTTGAACTCATAACCCTGAGGTCAAGGTTGATTGGCATGCTGTGGGGACTGAGCCAGCCAGGTGCCCCTGTACTTGTTCATTTTATCCTTATTGAAGATTCATGAAATAGACTTTTAGTCCTCTCATTTACAGATGTGGAAACAATCATGGGTATTTGTTTTCCTGAGGGTCATACATATATTTAGTAAGTGGTGGGGGTAGTATATAAATTCAGGGGGTTTGGCTTACTACCTCTAAATTTACTTACTCTAGAAGAGGATGTCTCGCTAAGCAATCTTAAATTCCTAAATGACATTGCATAGCATTTGGAGAGTCATCTGCACTGAGTTGTATAACTTTATGTCTGTTATTTAATATTATAACATGGTGTAATATCAATATCTGTAAAAAGCAAGCTTTCAGTTGTTGAGTTGGTGTTTTTTTATATTTATTTACTTGTTTACTTACTATTTAAAGTTTATTTTGAGAGAGAAAGTATGAGGGAGAGGGAGAGAGAATCTCAAGCAGGCTGTCTGCTGTCAGCTCAGAGCCCAGCTTAGAGCCCAGCTCAGAGCTCAGCCTGGCTCAGTCTTACAAACCATGAAATCATAACCTGAGCCGAAATTGAGAGCTGGACGCTTGACTGATTGAGTAACCCAGGTGCCTCATTGAGTAGGTGTTTTAAATTGAATACTGTATTGCCTCTTGGGTGCTCAGTAATTTATAGATAGGAATACAAAATTAAATGATGAGTTAACATTCTGTAGCTGAAGGCCTGTTTTAATTAGGATTGTCAATTCACTTACAACTAAGGATCAAATTTTAAACTTGTAGGATTAGGGGCCCATTTTTGTTGCTATTTGAACAAGTCTTGTGACATTTTAACTTGGCTGTTTAGGATTTTTCTGAAGTTCGGTCTATCTCCTTGTAAGTGTTTGCACAGCTCTGTAGGAGTGACAGTAACCTGAAACTTAGCCTTGAACCAAGGCAGCAGAGATAATCTGGACTAACAGTAGGTGTGCTTTAAGCAAAATACAGAAAAGTAAAAGAGAATTTAAATTGTATCTTCTGCCATCTCATAATTTGAGGGAGAGCTTGTCAGAATGCTAGTGTTCTGAGAGGCTGAAATAATTCCCATTTATCCAAAATTAAGATAATCGGCTCTTTCTTACTGTACTATTCTGGTGTGCCTATGAATGTGCTATATTTAACATGGAATGCATCTGGAACAGTTTGTGTTCATTGTAGTGTATTTACCTGTCTGGTTATCAGTTGTGCAGCAGCCTTCCTTGTTAGAGTAGGGAAAAAAAAAAGTGCTTTGGGCTGCCAAAATGGTAATGCATTTGTCTCAAAGAAGAGTCACGTAGGCTCAGCGACTGTTTACTTTTTTTACTTTACACAAAATTCGCAAAGTTCAAGTGCTGGCTACCTAGCCACCCTACAAAGTGGTGGTGGGGGGCGGATTTAACAGCAACAGGTGATTAATCTGGCAAAAATGAATTATAGAACTTGTTAAAAGAAGTAAGAAATGAGATGCACTTAGTGTATTAATTGTTCTCTCATTTCAGAAGAGCCTTTGGGCATGCTAACAGTAGCTTAATATGAATTAGTGGTGACTGACCCATACATTGTTAAATCATGATTACTGTATTTAAGAAGGCAGAAGTGTGTGTTGTAGAAAAAATACTCATCCCAAATAATGTAGAAATTGGAAGGCAGGCAGTGTTTTAAAGAAGGTGGAATATTTGGCTCATTCTCTAAAGGTGCTGGATAGCTGAAGTTTTACTGTGTGTTTCATTGTAGTTTTTGGGGAAATAATCCTCCTATGGAATATGTTTAAATTATAGTTGGCCAAAAATTTTGGGATTTGATTGTTGAGGAAAAACAACATCTTCAAGTGGCCTTTTAGCTTTAAGGTAGACACATTGAACAGCCCGAACTAACAATTGTATTAAAGGTGAGAAGTTTCTTTAGAGAGTTCTTTATTGGGCCAGTTGATGGGTTAGGATGCTTATCTATTTAAGAAAACGGACTTCCTATGCTGTGAAAAACATTTGGGGCTTGTGAATAGTAATGGAACATGCCTCAGTCTCATTCATAGGGTTATAATTTATTTTTTTGTAATTTTCTGTTTTTTTAATAATTTTTCTTTTTCTTTGTTTTTTCCTCAATATGAGTTGGGGAGAAGGACAGAGGGGAAGAGAGACAGAATCTTAAACAGGCTTCATGTTTTGCACTAAGCCCGACTTGGGGCTCTGTGCCATGAACCTGGGATCATGACCTGAGCTGAAATCAAGAATTGGACATTTAAGTGAGCCACTCAGGCACCCCTTAAATAATTTTATTTTTTTTATAATTTTTTAAATTTGTTTTTTTAACGTATGTTTATTTATTTTGAGAGAGAGCATGCATAAGCATGCAAGCAGAGGAGGCACAGAAAACGAGAATCCCAAGCAGGCTCCGTGCCAACAGCACAGAACCCAACTTGGGGGTTGATCTCACCATGAGATCTTGACCTGAGCTGGAATCAAGAGTCTGATGCTTAACCAACTGAGCCACCCAGGTGCCCCTTAAATAGTTTTAAATCAAGAACACTTATGTAAACTTTGCCTTGGAAGTTAAAGTCAAACTTAGTTCTGTCTTAATATCAGAGGAACAGATGAGACCATATTCCTGCCTTTCAACTTTAGCTTTTATTTTATTTTATTTTATTTTATTTTATTTTATTTTATTTTATTTTATTTTATTTTATTTTATTTTATTTTATTTTATTTTATTTTATTTTATTTTATTTTATTTTATTTTATTTTATTTTATTTTATTTTATTTTATTTTATTTTATTTTATTTTTTAACATTTATTATGAGAGAGAGTACTTAAGCATGAGTGGGACAGGGGCAGAGTACTTGAGCATGAGTGGGACAGGGGCAGAGCCAGAGGGAGAGAGAATCCCAAGCAGACAGGGGGCCCTATCACTTGAGATCCTGACCTGAGCCGAAATTAAGAGTTGGGTGCTTAACTGTCTGAGCCACCCAGGCACCCCTCAACTTTAGTTTTTTTAAAAAAGGCTTTTGTTATTTATTTATTCTCTTCAGGCTGAAATCTCAAATTGTTAAATTATTGATGGAAAATTTTTTAATCCCAGAAGGTGGTAATTCATTAGTTAAATTTCAAATTGAAGTTGTTTCTGTTCTAGAATTGCCATTGATACCTGAGCAAGAGGTCATTGCATTATAGTTTGTTATTTCTCATTTATAAAAATATATCAGTGTCCCTACCTTGAAAAGATAAATGTTGCTAATGAACTTTCATCTCTGAAGGAAGTGCTCTGGTTCTTTAGGTTAAAATTAAAAGTAAAGTGTTTAAGGCATAAATTTAAGTGACAAGGATTGGATTTTAAAAGATGCATTATTTTAATGAAAGAAAATGTATTGAGAAAACTTTTTTCCCGTGAAATTTGCAATAATTAAAAATTATCTGTATATTATGGGTGTTTTCTTATGTTCATTTGATTATAAATATAAAAAGGGTTAATGTTACTTCAAGCATGAAGATTTTATTAAAGGAAGTCCTAAAAGTTAAGCATATAAATGACCCAGCTTCGCATTATTAATACATGTACTAGTTTGAAAACTTAATCTGAAATGGGAAACAAAGTATATACTTAAAGTCTTCTTGTGCACTGAAAGTTAAACTTTGTTGTTAAGAAGTTAAAAACAAGTCTATGGTGAGAAAGTAAGATCAGTAACACCTCAGTTAATCTGGCATCTTTAGGGGAGAAGCTGAACAAGATCTCCTTCCAGGGACACAATTGGCCTCTTGTTGCAGGAATTGGCTTTAGTGGCAATGTCCTAAATGCCCACAAGATGGAGATGTTTCCTGCTTTAATTTCTACCTGGAGCCAAAAGTTAGTATCACTTCCCTATCCTCACCCCAACTACAAAGATGAGAAATTGTTGAGCAAGCATGATTTTATTCCCTTAAAAGTTTTAGCCTTCACATAACAAATTCTGACAGTTTACCCTTAAAAAATCTCCAGTCCTGTCTCTATAAAGGGTAGGTGGTATGTGTAAGCTCTTTGGGGCAGACTAGGGGGTGGCAAAGGGGGCAGATGTCAAAGGAATCAGAGCTGCCAAGTCTGAGCATTATGGCATTTTGCTGTAATAAAAATAATACTTCACCTGAGAAAAATTTTTTTGAGTATGTATTTTTGGTCTTAAAGTGTTTTGGTGGTTTCCACTTACCACCTGTCACTTTTAGCATCTTCAAGGTTTAAATATTTTATTGCTGGTTAACTGAGGTTCTACTGTAAATAAATCATATAAGTTGATTAGTGGATTGTGCTTCAGTGGGTAATTCTTGTTCACTAAATTGTTCACGTTATTTTTGTCTTTATTAAAGACTCTTAGCAATCCAAAAACTTAAAACCTAATTTGTGAGACTTAGAATTTTCCATTTTATGTGCTAAGAGTTTTGTTAATGAGAGAGAATTACTGTTAAATAGAAAGGAGCTTCAGCATAGAAATATGCTGGTTGCTGTCATCAGTGGGGACTACGTAGCCTTTTTACAAGTTTAATGATTGGAAGGGAAATTTGAAGCTAAAATTCTGTGTTTTGCTTTTACCAATACTTAACCTGTAATTTAAGGAAGACTTAGATGTACAGTATTTTTACTTTGGGATTACATTTATCTTTTTGGCAAGTCAAAAGAATTGGCTGCTTGCTCACTATTTTTGTAATTAGGCAGATAGCAGCAGTAATAAGCAAAACCTAACAACTGGAATGGGGTGTTCTTGATACATGATTATGTAGGAAGGACATTATTTAATACACTGCCCAATAAATTGGTGCAGTTTGGGAAAGGTATTACTGTTGTGGAAAAGTTTATTTGTTTTTAGCATTTTAATATTACTTTTTGTCTTTACAGGAAAATGTTTATAGGAGGCCTTAGCTGGGACACTACAAAGAAAGATCTGAAGGACTACTTCTCCAAATTTGGTGAAGTTGTAGACTGCACTCTGAAGTTAGATCCTATCACAGGGCGATCAAGGGGTTTTGGCTTTGTGCTATTTAAAGAGTCGGAGAGTGTAGATAAGGTAGTGTGTTATGTGTTCTGATCAGTTAATAATATAAGATGTGGATAGTTTGATAACACTAATTCGCCCATTTGTGATTTCCCCTTTTGCAGTATATGAAGCTAGAGCTATAGTTCTTAACCAATATATTTTATGAAGAGTCCTCTTTAATTGTTTACTGAATACCTTCTGTATGCCAGGCTCTACTAAATTGAAAAAATTAACTTTAAGAATACTGAGACTTAAAGACACCTAATTAAAGGGATGATCTGTGACAAGTTCACAAAAGTATAGATTTTGAAATTTCTTGGGCTAAGGGGAAATAGCAATCACGTTGATGTTGCTGACAGTTAATGGAGAGTTGGTTTTCTAGTAATTAAATGTTTCCCCTCCTCCCCATTCTTAACTGGCATTTAGGTTTGAACAGTTCTATATTAGCTGATGTCACATCACCACAGTTTGACTTCTTTAATCATAAGCAAGTCAGCATATACCTGGCATTAGCTATATTTATTTAACTATAATTATTAAGTTAAGTTAATAATCTGAACTTAAATTAAGGTACATACTTAAAATGAAAAACTTCAATTTCCCTAGGTCATGGATCAGAAAGAACATAAATTGAATGGGAAGGTGATTGATCCTAAAAGGGCCAAAGCCATGAAAACAAAAGAGCCTGTTAAAAAAATTTTTGTTGGTGGCCTTTCTCCAGATACACCTGAAGAGAAAATAAGGGAGTACTTTGGTGGTTTTGGTGAGGTATGTGATCATGTTTTGACCCAATTTTTTTCAAAATTAATGTGAATATAATTGTCACATTATATTTTCAAAGTTGTTTTGAAGTTTGGGCTGATTATGTGATTTGTTTTGAAAGCAGGATATTGTAAATACTTCCATTAGCACATCTTTGAAGGTTAGATGATTGTATTTTTTTCATATATTGAAGGTACAGAGTACGCAAAGATGTAACAGACGTTCTTACCTTGAGGAACTTACCAGATTAGTAGAAGAAATAAAAATATAAACATGAGGAAGAAATCCAGGTTGGATTACCTGAGATAATAGAAGGAAATGGTTCAGTTGAGACTAGGAAAGAAATGAATTCTTAAGAATAAGGTGTAGTGTCTTCTCAATTTAAAAACATACATGTGCAATTTTTATGTCTAATTACAGACTTAGAGAAACTGAAGTTCCTTTTGTGAAGTAATGGGTTAAAGCTAAGATGAGAAGTTTGTGACCTTGCCTGCCAGATACAGCCTGCAGACACTTCTTTTGCTTGATTTTAAACAGAAGATGTTTTGTTAATATTTAGGTTGAGATATTTCCCACAAATACCTGGATATGTAGCATTTCTTACATATTTGCAAGAGCAAGCAACATTGGAATTGCCTTCTTATATGGGCAGCAGCCATCTAAGATGAGAGTAGTAGCCTCCCCCTTTGGTTAGTCATATGTGGTCCTCCCCACTTCCCATTTTCTCCCAAATGCAGTCATCTTTATTCTGTTTTTCTTAAAATTGACTGTTGCCTTCTGTTCTTGGTTGGCATTTGAATATGTGACCCTTGAATGAGGTAGCGAATGTCAGTATCCTGGGAAGCTTATTTTTATAAATAGATTTGAAGACTTAGGTGGACTGGATATTTTTATTGGAAGAATTCTTTCAAAAGATTAGAATAAACAGGGAGAGAGACTGCAGAATAGAATTTGAGGGCCAAACATGTTTTTTTGTGCATTTTTCCCCACTAAACTTGTGCTTTTATTGTCAGTCACATGCAAACTAAGGTATTAAAACTTATTTTTGATCTCAGGTGGAATCCATAGAGCTCCCTATGGACAACAAGACCAATAAGAGGCGTGGATTCTGCTTTATTACCTTTAAGGAAGAGGAACCAGTGAAGAAGATAATGGAAAAGAAATACCACAATGTTGGTCTTAGTAAAGTAAGTTAAGCATCCATTTACTTGTAGAGAATACTAGCTTTTATAGAGGGTTTCATCATCTAGCTTTCTGAAAGGCTTCAGTTTGCATGCTTGTGCTTTAAAGATGTCTCATGGGCTTCTTACTTATCAAAGTCATTGATCACTATTTTTTTGCTTTCACTGGGAAGCAGTAGGAAAACATTTGTTTTTAAGTGTATTTTTGTCTAGGCTTTACCAAAAGATGCTGTTTGAGGGCCCGACGAGTAGAATGTAGCAACCTATATTAAACAAATAACTTCTTGGATGTCATTAGAGGAGATTATTTCTTTAAAAGTACTGATGATTGGTTTGATAAACTGACTTTGAGGAAAATATCAAATTAGTCAACTCTGTATTTTGGACATTATTGGCTCTCCTGGTTATTATACATTTTGGTGTATCTTTGTGAGTCCGTATAATAACATACATTTTCTCTTTTAGTGTGAAATAAAAGTAGCCATGTCGAAGGAACAGTATCAGCAACAGCAACAGTGGGGATCTAGAGGAGGATTTGCAGGAAGAGCTCGTGGAAGAGGTGGTGGTAAGCTAGAGTCTAAGTTTACTCTTAAGCTTTTCTGCTTTTTAATTATCCTGAAGTAAAGATCTTTGCTGATCTTCTGACTTTAGTGAACCTATTAATGTGCTGCAGGCCCCAGTCAAAACTGGAACCAGGGATATAGTAACTATTGGAATCAAGGCTATGGCAACTATGGATATAACAGCCAAGGTTACGGTGGTTATGGAGGATATGACTACACTGGTTACAACAACTACTATGGATATGGTGATTATAGCAGTAAGTACTATACTTTTTATATTAACTGCTATTTGACATTTATTTTGTACAAATTTGGATAGGTAGAAAGGTTAGTGTAGCTTTGCCAAGTGCAAACTGCCTCAGGTTTCAA